CATGTAGCACAAATTATAAATGTACCTACATATAATTGATGAGCACGACCCAATACCATCGAATAATGAGGGAAAACAAAGGGAAAACTGTTTGTAAGGAAATCCTTAAATTTGACATGGCGCCGTCTAAAATAGAGATTTGTATTGAGACCATTCGCACAGCCGCGAATAGTACTTTTAGCATAGGCTACTTTGAAATTAGATCACTCACTTTGTAACCCGAAGGCCCAATTTTCAAATGAGAAAAACTGTTCGTCAATTTTGTTTCTTAACTCATCAAGTATGTACACAACAAATTTCGTGGAATTCTCTTCATTTTCCAGATTCGTTATTTACATGTTCAAAAACCCCCAGATACCAAATTTCGTCGAAATCAGAATTTTTTTGCACCCCCAAGTAGGGGTTCGCCATTTCGTGGTAGGAATTTTGAAAAAAAATTTGCATAATTGGATAGGGCATACCCGAAAACCTATTCAAAGAGAGAAAAAAATTAAAGAAGAAATCCAAATTTTACCGCTTCTTTGGGGGTGGCTTCCAAACAAAACACGTTGGACCCACGGTTTATTCGGAAAAAGTGCTTGTCCTGATCCCCTCTATCACCCAATTTTTATTACATGCGGTCACGAAACACCCTGTATAGTCAACTAAATCAGTTATGCGAGGGTTGTCCAAGAAGTAGCAGACGTTTCAGAGATAATTCGCATTTGAAATGGTTTTTTCTAAAAAAAACAAAACAAATGCGATCTAAGTCACCTTTATTAAAATTTATTTTGACGCTTCAATTTGTTTGTTAAACTTAAGTGAACCTGTCAGTTCTCCGAAACGAACCAATAGAATTTAAGAAGTAAAGCAGATTAGTAATCACGATTAAATTTCACATAATGTGCCATTTGCCATAGGATCCCATTTAAAATTTTAGGGGTTAAGCTCCCTACGTAGAGGGGTGAAGACTTGGGTTCGTGATTTGTATTCCAAAAGTTGTCCCCCTCGAACACAAAATTGACGTGTTCGAGGATTTTTCGAAATTTCTAAATTTAATACCCTAAAAGCCCTCTGTATACTTCTCGTTGGGCCACTCTGTATATACTTATCTGCGGCTACATGCGCATTGATCCCAATAGGGCCGGTATTTACAAAAAACTTTGTGTCGATATAGACATATAGTAGCGAAGTTGAATTATAGGTACGTGTAGCTCAATTAAACGAGTAAAGTTTTAAATGTAAAGTAAAGTTTGGTGACCTTCAATTACAAAGAATAACTTACGAATTGAACCCTATTACGATAAATACGAACGATAGCGGAAGTGTTTTTGTGAAATTAAAATTCTGCGGCCCTCATAACTTGAATTTAATGTTGTAATTCTTTCGGCACTTCTGAATTTTATCGTTGTTTAACATCGGGGAGCTAACAATATTCAGAAGTGAGATATAGAACGTCAAGACCAAATGAAAGTGTAATGAGGCCGATTAATTAATCGTCAAGGCGAATGAAAATGGACATATGGAAAGTGATTACGGCCGAATTTCCGAGCAGACCGTAGCGAACAAATGCTTTAACAAAACGTGTCCCAGCTAGCGTTGGGCAAAAAAATCGATTAATCGATTATAATCAAACGATAATCGATAATCGGGTTTGATTATTCTATTAAATTAATCGATTAATCGATTATTTGATTAATCGATTATTTGATTAATCGGTTATTTGATTAATCGATTTGATTAATCGATTGTTTGATTAATCGATTATTTGATTAATCGGTTATTTGATTAATCGATTGTTTGATTAATCAATTATTAAGTAAATTTTAATTGATTATTATTAGCTGGATCATCAGTTTACGCAAAAAGGAGCACTCACAGCTCACAAGTATTATTTTATTTTATAGCGGATGTTAAAACGTCACTTTAAGCAGCTAAAATGAATTAAGATTGTATCATCAAAACTAAAGCACACCTCATCGGAGAGTAAGCTGCCTAATCATTTATTTTTATTTATTTATTTTTATTTTTGACCTTCATTTTCAAATGGGCAGGGTTTCAGCCAAGGCTGTTCTACCAACCAACCCACTATGCATTTGCAAATATCCATGCCCGAACCCGGATTCGAACCAGGGCACTTTGTTGATTATTGATTAATCGATCTGCCTAGTAATGAACGATTTGATGAAAAGAGTAATGGAATTATTTTTTATTTCTATTATTAAATAATTAACGTATTAATGCATACAAACAGATATTTATCACTCCTTGTATGTGACAATCGACTTTTGATTAAACGATTAGGTGATTAATCGATTATTTGATTAATCGATGATTTGATTAATCGATTATTTGATTAATCGATTATTTGATTAAACGATTATTTGGTTAATCGATTATTTGATTAATCGATTAATCAGTGTAATCGATTATTTTTCATAATCGATTATCGATTATTCAAACCCGTAATCGCCCAGCCCTAGTCCCAGCACCGCGACCAATCATTGAGAGAACCGCGACCCTACCTTATCATGCCTGATTTAAGTATTGCCCAACTTCAACGGAACCAGCTGCAGAGAAGCGATGGAATGGCTAGAAAAGGTGGATACCAGCGCAATACTACACGACTGGTCAGACGTAATTAAATTAGAAACTGCAAGAGTTAGTGGCGGCGGGGGCTAGAGATTGGTTTCACATTAGAAGGGGTGAATATCCGTTCGTGGACAGAGTTTGAATTCGAGTTTAACTTGATAATGTGGTAGTCTCGTGGAGGCACTGGAGGCGCATAGAAAAACGACTACAAACACCACGTCAAGATCTTGAAGTTTATTACCGAGATTGTGCAACGTGCTAAATTTAACATTTAGCGAGTGTAAAGAGCAAAGTGTGCCTGTATTGGGGCAGAAAGCATTGATTCCGGGTTTAATGGTCAAGGAACATAGCGATGCGAATGACCTTGTAGTGTACTTAACCCCCAGGCTCTACGCTAACTTCACACTACAAGAACACGGAAATAAAGTCAACCCGGCAACGTTTAAAAATGGCCACCCGAATTCCCTCCAAAACTAAACAAGGTCCCGCTTAAATTTGAAAAGTGGCACGTGATCAAACATCTAAGGCAGGGCCCCATTACGTAAGTTGTAGACAATGCTTTGACCTGAAGCACAGTAGGGAAGGAACGTAAAATAAAACACTCAAATTGTGAAAAGTTTGTTTAATAATGATCGCAATTATTAAGATTGTGAAAGTTCGGAAATTTAAGTCGAAATAAATTACATTGCAAAAATAAACTTTGAAAATGGTAGTTCACCGAATAAAAATAGAAATAGGCTTGGGAAAAAAAAGAACTTACCAATAAAAAAACCGGCCTTCAAATTAATATTAATTGTGTAGTAAAATTAATTGTTTGTAATGATGTGAATGCGTAACATAAAATTATAACATCACAAAAAGTAGCATGTACATTTCAAGAGGTAACATATAGGTTAAAAACAAGGTTTGGGGATTATGGGTCAGGTAAACAGGTACCAAGATTCTAAGAAAGGGTGAAATACACAGGATGTGACTCATCTTTGATGCAATAAAGTCCTTTTGTTAAAAGCAAGATGGAAAATTACATGGCCTTGGAGGCAAATGTAACTAAAACATTATATATGGAAATTACGAATCGTAACTATTTATCGCACATAGATTCCAAACTGAAGAGCTTTGATTAGCGTAATCCCGCTCCTGCAAGATAGGTAACCCGCCCCTGGTTTTGGGGTTTCGAGCCTACAGTTGAAAGTTGAAGACAATCACGGAATCAGTTGTCGTACTTCAAATGGATACAGTTTTTACCACCCCCGTGACTGCTTCATTCACGGAGAAAATTGTTAGTTACAAACAAGTCAGTACATACATCAAACGAATCGGTAATTTCAATATATTTATTTATTTATTTTTAAAAATAAATAAATAAATAAATTAAACCAAGTAAATTTCAAAAACAAAGATCAAACACACAAAACGTATAAAATGTGGCATACAAAACACAAATACGATATAAAGAAATGCAAAGATTAATACCTGCATTAAAAAAACACAAAATAACAACAAACATTTATGGAGCGCCATTCAAGACAAGATGCCAAACGTACCCCCCGCCAGTGCTTTTTATATTTCGCAGGCAGCTTTTTCCCACCTTAAAATTGCATGGTTGCCAACTCTCAAAAATGTATGTATCGTCGTATGTTGTATATACAGGGTGGAACCTCTCAACCTATTGCATGATACCGTATCCCTGCAAATAAGAGTAACACGAACCGGTGAGACACTACACAAATCGTGGCAAAACAAATTATTCGATGGTAAAAACGCGAGACACAATTGTGCATCTGAGGGACATTATGCTACTGAATGTTAGCGTCTAAAAGATTATAATGCATGTTTCAAATGTAAACAAACGGGCCGTACAAAGGAGAACTGTACAACACGGAACCGAATGGTAACGAGCAAATCTATAACTGAACGTTCTGAAGACTTGGAAATCGAAGCAAGCACAAAGCGAGTCCGAATTCGAGCGCTCTCAAGAGGTGTGGGTAATTGTTCCAGTTATAAACCCTAACAACAAGGTGGAAATTGGACCAGGAAAAACTGCGGGATTTTTAAGGTTTGATGTTAAACTATCGTGCCCCGATAACAACAACGGACTTTTTCTTGGTGATGAAAACAATACCTACCCATATATGGGTGCGGACTGCGGAAAATTAATAGTGTGGTTTATTTGTGGCTTGTGGGAACGGAAAATATGTTTAGCACTCGAAAAACATTTAAAACTCGCCACCAGACTTATTTCCATTATTGGAGACCAATTAATGTTTGGGTTCCATATGTGTAGATGTACGTAAATAGTTCCCCCAATCTTTACAATTTGCACAGGTATATCTGTGCCATATTTGTATCCTATAAATACCTAATCCGCATCAGAGTAGAGCTATTAAAAGGATACTTTCAATCAAAGTAAGAGTAATTTATTTTTTCAGATGACCACAAGTTCATACCCCGGAATGGGCCAGTCATTCTCAATGACCCACAGTACCAACATGTCAACCGTTGCGGGAATGAGACAGGACGCCGTAGGTAAGAAAACTAAACCATCGCGAATTTTCTACAGTAAAAATAACGTTTATCTGGACTCCGCGCAATTGAATTGCATCTAGCGTTATGACCAAAAACCTATTTCATAACGGAAATGAAACATCTTAAAGACGCCGGCTGTAATCTCGGTACATCTTAGCGGAAACTAAATTACTTCCGCCAAGACGTCTCCTCTTAAAAGTACCTGTATTTATTTTTACTTGTCGCATTTCACGCTGCCCATTTCAACCCTATACTTCGCACTGATGGCTGTGAATAATCAAATTTGTCATTTCAGGAATGACGGCGGAAGACGAGTGGTATAACAAAAGTTTGTCAGCTTTAAGAATGAACACAACGCATCACCCGAACTTGGCCGCCCCAATGCTACAATATCAAACGTAATGTTCAGACTGGTCCACAATGTTTATAAATACCTCTCACTAAATTTTGGCCAATAAAAGGTATCGTTCTTAACTAGATATGCTTTCATCTTTAAAGGATTATAGATATTTCCGACAACGAGCCAAAAAAATCATCAGCCATCGCGTGCTTGTCACAAATTTTAAGTTCCTTACTTTCCTCAAACTGGGAAAGCCACCTTTGTAAATTGTGTGTAATTGTTAGTGTAAGTATTATTTTATACATGTATTTATGAAATAGACGACATACAAAAGAGAATCTTTTACCTTCATTAATGTGCTAGAGTATTATACTCGAAGTTTATTATTTATAATGAAAACTAGTAAAAATTCTAGACATACGCGTAACGTATTTAATGTTATAATTCAGTGTGTGTATCTGTAATTAGGTTAAGATGTATATGTTGAATTGTAAATAAATACATCAGTTTAAGTAATTTTCTTAACCATTGGCTGGAAGTATCATTCGTATGTTAATATTTTAGTTGAAGGGCATTTACAAGATTCTTGAGATGCTCTTCGAAAGTTTTTTCACTTTGTCATTTCTTCATTTAACATATTACACTGGTCTACTGGTTATGGCAAGATTTTTTAAGAGTCGACTACATCAGAGGAAGTTTATTGTACATTTGGTTGATCTGGGAAGGGTATAGGTACCGAGGGATGGAATTTTGACCAGTGATTACGTAATCTTGGAAAATCCTTGCAAATTTTGTTAGGATAAATTGGAAATTTGGTTACACGGAGATTGATTGTGAATTCTTATGAAAACTATAGTTTAATCAACTATACTGCATAATTGTTGGTGGGGTTTACATTCGCACAATTAAAACGAATCAGCTAATTCAACTTTATATATTTCGGCTAGGTATCATATTTTCGCTCATGTTAACAATTACACAAAATTGTATTATCGTATTTAATTAGAATTTATTGAAAATACGATCAAAATTTTATTTACTCCAAACTTTCTTGTTCTAGGCATCACTGCACTTCCTCTTGCATTGTCGATTCTCTAAAACGTTCATAAACCGTTACAACAATAGTTGCATTTATTACATGCAAAATTATTCGATTACACGGAGAGACGGAGAATGGAATGACACGATTTTTTTATCGAATTTGATATCATGGAGCCGTGATGTTACACTGACCCATTCTTGAATTAGAACACGCAATTAACTTAATTTTATAATTGCGGTTACACATCTTATTGCTTCTTTCAATTATCTATATAATTATTATATTTTTATAAAACCACATCAGATAGGTAAGTCTCAAACAACAGATATCTAACCTTAACACAAATATACTATTTATAATTTAGGTGATTATACGAAACAATGGCGACAGTAGAGTGTCTAATTGTTGATTGGTTGTTGAGATCGGCGGCCATGTTGCATCAAGTTTGTACCTACTACTACATGTCATACGGTCATTGTTTGTTTAGACCAAAAATTGGACGAATAATTGAGATTTGTGTTGAAATACTCAAAATTAGATCGATTAAGGTGTACTTGTGGGAATATGTGTGGGATGAAGTGCTCGGTGCTCGGCTTAAGACAGACAAAATAAAATAAAGTTCAGTTAGTTACATTTTTGACTCTCAGATTGTGTTTATTTAAATAGAAAATTCTCCTTCTTAACATTAAAACATTAGGTGGTGGCCTTCTTTTTTAAGCACATCATAATCGTGATTACAAATCCGTAAAATGGCAGGCGATGAAAATTTGTGTAGGTATTTTTTCTAGATTTAAGCAAAGCTTTTGATTGTGTAAATCATCAGATCTTGTTAAATAAGTTGAGAGCATATAATTTTGATGAAATTTCCATTAAACTCATGCAATCATATCTCGAAGAACGTTATCAAACTGTTAGATATAACGGTTTATTCTCAAAAGAAATATGTGTACAGTCTGGTGTTCCACAAGGTTCCATTTTAGGGCCTGTGCTTTTCTTAATTTATATAAATGACTTGCCTTCTACAGTTAATGGACATTTCATATTATATGCCGATGACACTACAATACTAAGCTCTGGTTCTAGTCTAGAAATAACAAATATAAGAAGTATAGATCTTCAAGGGCAGTCCAAGTCTTGGTTCCACTTGAACAAGTTGTCTTTAAATGAAGTTTTAACTTTTACGATGAGAAGGGACACTGATGTAATTAACCAAAAGCCGGTGAAATTTCTAGGCGTCTATGTGGACTCTACACTTTCATGGACACGCCATATTGACGAGCTCTCCTCAAAACTGAACTGTTCTTACTCCGTAATTTAACAAACCATGTTTTTCCGGAAGTTACGCGACCTGCGTACTTCGGATTATTCCATGCCTAATGAATTATGGTATTTTTAATATGGGGTCACTGCTCCTCTGTCTTTAGAATCTTTAAAATACAAAGAAGAGTGGTTCGAATATTGGCAAACCTAGACTATCAATCTGATTGCAGGCAAGCCTTCACAGATTTGGAAATATTAACCTTACCCTCACTTTACACATATACCTGTATGATTTATATGAAAAGTAATTGCCAAAAATTTAAATGCCACTCGGACTTTCACAATTATGATACGCGAAATTTAATAATATGTACCTACTTCTTTACGTCTTAAAAAAAGTCAGTACGGCCCTAATTTTTTAGCCATAAAATTTTTTAGTATGTTGCCCACCGCTCTCAAACATTGCAAATTTAATGGAGTTTAAATCTAAAATTAAATCATATATCATATCTAATAAAAAGGCTTTCTATTCACTAGAAGAATTTTTGACGAATAAATGTTGTGATATAATGGAATAGTTTGTATAATTATTATGTTTGTTTGTAATTTATTATATTCGTTTGTCTCTTACATTGCATACTTAAAATGACTTGTGTAAACACCATGTGTAAAACATCAATAAATATTATTATTATTATTTATTGTGTGTTGCCTACACTACAATTGTATTGGTATTTGATGATTTCTAATTTGAATCTTCGATGCATCATGGCGGCTGGTCTCGTTCGTTATCGGATAATGAACCAGAGAAATCGCTCCACCAACTAAGAACGCGGTTATGTACCACCACCCAGAGAATCAAGAAAGAGCTCTGTCAATGCTTCCGGGTGTCCGGGGGTGATGAGGTTTCCCGTGTTGAGTTAAATTAAGCCCAGCGCCTACGCTATCACTCCTTTCTCTTTCCATCTTCAAAGTCCAAAGCGTAGACATTCTCCCAAAAGAGATGAGAAAAATGAAATTTGTTACGCACAAAGTTTGGTTCTGGGGAATACATAAAACTAAACGTCAAGTAAAAAATCTGGTCTATGCGATGGATTATCATACTAGCGCCCCCACTTTTGAGAGATATATATGTTGTGATGTTTCAAAATGTACAGGTTCGAAACGTTGGTACGCCACTGGTTTTGATATTTTCGCGATGTATAGAACCAATGTATGTATGTACATATATATACAGAACTGTCAATGTTACCTCCATTTTGGTTACGCCACTGATGGTTTCGATATTTCTTATTGCTGACTCGTTATATCGTAGTTGCTCCTTTGGTTATTGACTCGATGCATAGAACTTACTTTTTTAGCGCATTTTTGCAAATTTATTTGTAAAAAGTAGCTTTTAATCTCACTTTGGCTGGCTGGCGGGCAGTAAATGAGGGCCCGTAAGAAGAATATGCTTGTAGAAAGACGAGAAGTGCACATGTAGGTACCTACCGGGGCCGTGTAATTAACAACTTTTTGCGGACGGGACTACATGATGTGGGGTCGGCGGAGTTTTTTCCTACCTTCTTCTACAGTTGTGATCCGATTGTTTTCAAGTTGGTGTCTTCAGTCTTAGACCATTACGGTACTTGGTGTCATCGGAGATTTTGTAAACGCGCCCAACTTCTGCGCATGGCGGAATTTTTTTTCCTAGGGGCGAAATTAACCACCTTTTGCAAGGCGCGCGGCTTGGAGGGGTACGACTTTGGGCACCCAACAGTTTCTTAGAGCTCCAATCGCGCTCTCTCTTTCTCGAGTCGCCAAGCTACATGAGAAGTACCCAAAAATTGAACCTACCTACAATTTTGCGGCGAGTTTTTCACGAAATCCACCAAACGGGACGTCGAAACTGGGTAGCGACAAAGGGAATGTGGTAGCCCGCCCCCACCAGAGCTGGGTAGGTACTGCTCGCGCGAACGAAAAAGCGCTTGCGAGCGGAGCTCTTTTCGTAATGGCCGCTTGGTGCTCGATACTCGAGTGTTTACTTAAAGTGCTCGGCGCTTTTTTTCTGCTCACGGGCGGTTTTGCCGCTCGTGAACTCTTTTTCCGCTCGCGAGTGGTTTTTCCGCATCCGAACGCTTATTCCGCTCCTGAGCGTTTTTTTTTCGCTCGTGAGCGCTTTTTTAACCGCCCTCAAGTGCAGAAGGATTAAGCGCCGCTCCCGAGCGCTTTTTCCGCTCTTGAGCGTTGTTTCCGGTCGAGATAACTCGCAAGCGGTTTCGCTTTGAAAAACAACTCGATGCTCGCGAGCATTTTTGAGAAATTAGATCGCTCGTCGCTCCAGCGGTTTTTTTAGAACGCTCGACCCCGTTCTGCCTCCGACAAGATCTTACTGATGGTGGAGTCAAAACTTCAAACTCGAATTGCGGGTGAATGCAGTTTATACAAGATACTTAATGTCAAAATATATGTTCAGATACCATCTCACCTAGCACGCAAATGTAACAAAATTCAAAAGAAAAATACAAAAATCAAACTTTATTGTACAATGAAAATCAGGTAATCGAGTCAAGTGCAGTTGAGGATAGTAATAAAAACAGGATATAAAGAGACATAATAGACAAAACTTGTAAAATGATTAATTGAATGTAGGTACATAAAGAACACCAAAATGGCATTTTTCTCTTCCAGCATCGTCAGCCATTAATTGAAAACGAAAAGGTGTGGGTAAGAAAGCAAGCAGTATTTAAGTAAAAGTGGATAGACTTAGACCATGTGCCATAAATGAATAAGTACTACTTCTAATTATACCTTTGTAAGGGATCAGGCACAACTTTAGTTAATTAATATTTTCCTCATAGTCCCTCCTTTCACAGTTGATTCTTACACAAACAAAATGGCAAAACAAAGAAACCACGGCATGCAGATACATGAAAAAATTGGGAAATAAAAAATAAGACATATACTAAAAATCTTTATTCAGTAGTTTGTAGCTACTTTTTAAAAAACTACAAATTAAATAAAAAATATAAATAAAGGTGGTTCATAAATAAATGGTAAAAAATATTTGATATTTCACGTACAACAGAAGCCACAAACTTCTTTATACAAACATTTTCATTACAATATCAGCAACTTAATATAAGGACATAAACTATTACTTAATAAATAAAAATGTTACCTAAAAGCTTTATTAATACACATTTTTATAAAATACACTCTAGCATATCGTATATACACTAAGTTGATTCAGTCCCAATATACATGATGCAAGAAAATTTTTTCGATATTAACTCGTCGATTCTGTGGCGCAAGTAAATGAAAACCTAAACTAGTAACTACATAACAATTGCCACAATTAATTAACATTATTGCAATTTCATCAATCGTCAATGAAAAAATTATTAAAATCTAAAAATATACGACACAGTTTCAAGTCAATTATACTGTAAATTTAACTACGATATCAAAATTCATAATTATTATAAATTGATTGTTTACGTTATCATTTACTTGCTTGAGCAATGCTGATTTTAGTATTTTTAAAATCCTTCTTAGGAGGAGGAGGAGTGGGTGATACACAAATAACGTCATTTGAGGAATTATTATCCAAACTATCGTCTAATTCCACTTTTTCATCAACAGAATCGTCTATTACAACAGGACCGTTGTCCTTTTCGTAATCTTTAAGTACAGTATCCAAATTATATCGTTTACGGTAGTTAACGAAAAAACTACGCACGTGATGTTCGGTTTTATTACCTAAGACTTCGGCAATACTCTTGAAATCCTTGCCGTATTTACGAACACCTTGAACCGCTAGCAGCAATTCTTCGTTAGTCCATCGAGAGTTGATACGTGATGAATTGTCGCCGGTTGGACGGAGATCTTCTAGAGACTCAGAATGTTTTCGTTTCAAGGAACTCACAACCTGTTTGTTTTGTTGGATCTGCAACAAGAGAGAGAAGTGTTAGAGATTGGCAAAAGACGAACAAAAGGTGACCGGATTCCACCTGTAAATAATAAACATAATTTTAAAGAAACTGAATCTACCAGTGATGTCTCAAGTCACTTTCTTATTCTTTACTTCCAAATAATTGGAACTAAAATTGTGCAAACGCAAGATGTCGATTATTTTAACTAAACTTGCACCATACACATACCAAACAAAAATACAAAAACTAATCATTCAAAAACCATTCCATAAGCATAGAGGGGGATGAGGAGGAAACAAAGCAAGGCGGAAGCATCAGGTGGTACTCACTTGGCGATGGAGGGCTTCCAACTCTCGATCCATAGCCTTTAGAATCAGCACGCCCGCCGAACCGGAAGCCATTGCTGCCAAATCGTCGTGATTGATGTACATGCCACGAGGTGGCTTGCGTTTATGCCTCGCCCCAATGGGCGCTCCACGTTTGCTTGCCGTCGGGCCTGATGTAGGCCTTAAAATTCCTGTTCGTCTATATTTAACATGATGTTACATTTTATTTATTTAAAGTAAAAAAAGTACAAATAAGAACATGGACAACAAATGTATCAAATTCAACAAATTACTTCGCTAGTTACAATTCTCATTTGTGGAATGTATAACTGTTGAATTTAACACTATTTCAATTAGTGAACAATATACAAGGTGTCACATATTACAGTACCTACTTGAATTAGTTTCTATATGTAACATCAATGTTAATCTCTAGAGGGTCTTTTAAATGATATGTAACAACATGGCTTGCAGTTGTCAAACTAACGAAAATAAAAGTTTTTAGGGGCAAACGGTAAAATGGCTATTTGAACAAACGCATTCTTGAAATTTACAAAATTCTACTACGCAACACCAAACCTTTCATTGATACCAAACAAATAAAATAAATTGCGCACTAGTACATATTCCGTGAAACACCCTGTATGTATTATATCATAAAATGTAAATCATCAGGGTAACAAGTAAACAAATTTTATTTTTTAAAGACATGATATTATGTTTAAGATGAATTTATAACGGTCATGAAAATTGATCGTTACTCACAAAACATTTAAAACTAAGAACCTCCCTCCTTCAATATACCCGTTAATTTCGTTATTCAAAAAAATGTTTGACAAGGCATGATTTACTTTTGTGTAAACACTCAAGCTATTGTTATATGAAAAAGTGTTCTCTGTATTCTCTACATACTAAATTTATTACATAATCTCAAAATTCCCCAAATGTTTATTAATTCATATGCAACAAATAATATAAACTAATGTTCTTTCACTAAAAAGTAGTTTTTGATCATTAGAAATAGTACTCCACTTAACACATTAAGATTACATTTTCAAGCCAAAAGATATATCAAGAAAGTCATATAGTATCAGGCATCAATTTGGAACATTGGTTTTCAAGCATTTCGTGACACCATGTATATATTGCACACAGAATTTGTAAAGGTTGTTTTGAATTGAACAAAAAAAGTTTTGACCGTACAAAAAAACATACCTCCAATGTTGGAAGCAGGATGTACACAAAGTGCCTTTCGGTGTCACGTGTGTGACTGTACAGTTGACTCCGCAGTTAGAACACGCACCACCTTCACCCTGCACACATACAACAGTCATACTAACCATACCCAGTATAAATAATTAAAACAAGGTAACCAGAGTTTAGTGTGTGGTGGTATGTACAATAAAGCTAAATAGCAAATGGCATAAAAGTAAACTACAAATACGATAATGAAATATGACCGCTATAATAAAAAAATGATTAGTCACAACATGCTGGATCAAGTCTCAATGGCACTACAACAACCATGCAGTGGTACCAATCGGTTATTATATTTTCCCTTATACATGAGATCAATAAAACTGCTATTCATCTTTCACATGTTCTTGAATGTCATTTGTCTGAATGCCCAAAAAGTTCCTATAAAATGGCTACCTACAGCGCAGCGGATTCTCAAACACACCGAATCAGTTTCAAAATTCAAAAAATGCCTTCACTTGTGGCGGCGTCTTCAGTTACCTTTATTATATATTTGTAACATGACCAATAGACGACGAGTTCATTTGGGACCTTTGTGATTGTCAAGTAGATTCTGTCCTGAGCATAGAGCAAGAATAAAAAAAAGGATCAATTCTAGGCACCAAGTTATATAGGGTGTAATAGGTAAATATATCAAAAAAAATTACTAGAAAAGACAAGAAAAACATCATTTCCATTTTCTAATATTCCCATCCTAAAATGGCACGCTAGGACACGAAAAAGTGTAGAGATCTTTGCACATGGAAGTAAGTGGCAACTCAACTGTGGACCAGATATAAAATTTAACCAGTAGACATTTCGAGGATACTTCTCCTAAAAGTATCAAAAACACAGAAATGAGTCGGGCCATAGGGACCGAAGAAGAAAACGCCAATAGTGATAAATTTTTTTTTTGTTTAAAAAATGCTGTAAGAGAGCTGCAGAAGCAAAATTAATTGCTTATTCTGCAACCATGATCGCACTAGAAATAATAAATTTGTGCAACCAATTCAGTGGAAATCTTTGGGTTGACATATGAGAGGAGGATATACAAATATGTATAATTTCCCTATATCCACATCTAAGCATTAAGGATTTTAGATCGGATTTTTGAGAACTTAAATAGCACCCATTGATCAAAATCACTCAAAATGGTGAAGTTTGATATTTATTTCATTGTAATATCTGATGTGACACCCTGTATATTTTGGTAGTTTTGAGTAGCCCTCCCTGTATTGTATTTCCTGATTACAAATATATAAGTGTATAACATTAATTTCATTCTACATGACTTTTTACACCATTAAAGGATAACACAGTTGGCTATGCATTAGAACATTTAAAGGGGAGATGTCAGTTGTGCATAGGCAACAATAAAAATGGAGGTAATGAGTACAATTTTAAATATTTGTATATTACATATCTATTTGGTTTACTGTCGAAATATACACATTCAGTTGTATTGAAGTACGTAGACTATACTTGTTATCCTTTAATAGTGTAGCGAACATCTTGTTGAGTTGATGGGTTTGTTCGAGAACGTTCTAGAAGATTCGGAAGTAATCCATAGCACTCAAGAACAGTCGAGTTTGCTATATAAGCAACTTATACACAACCTCACTTTTATTACACTTAAACTATCATTCCTGACTACTAATACACATATTATAGATCATCGTTAAAAATATTATATGCACCCTCACTTCACCATATGACGCTCGGCCTGAAGATGACCTGATATAGGTTGAAATCGATAGCCGCATTAGTAAATATAAAAAACGTGTCTAAAAAAGATTTTTTCTTTAATTCAAATCCTGAAAACGAATTGCGTTTCAGGACAGTTCCAATTTCAACGTCGAAGTAATAAATAGTTCGCGCTATTATAAATTGTGTATATGTGAGTGATAAATAATAATTAAACTGTTATAAATCAATTCATTTAAAGACTGTTATAAATTTGTTTTTAATTAATTGTAAATAAATAAAGCATGTATTTAAAATTACGTTACAATAGTATCATATCGTGTGGGTGGCACTCCCTAGGTACAGACGTTTTAAGGTCGCATCAACAGCCGTCTGTGTGACTTGACGACAGTTGTTGTGACTGCCTTGACCGCGCGCGTTACATGCCCTCGAAAGCATGGTAGTCAGGAGATGTTCTGTACCACTAAAAACTGGCAAGTTGTGGGATTCGAACTCACAACCTGTGAGATTAGAGTCAGAGTCTTAAACCAATATGCCAAACAATAGTGCAAAGTGACTAAAGAATGAAACTAATGCTACACAATAATTACATACTTGATCAGGAAATACAGGGCAACTCAAAACTATAAAAATATACAGGATGTCTCATTAAAGATATTGATTGAAAACGTATTTTGTTGGGCACTTCCTGTATATTGAATTCAATCTGTTACTACATTTTTAGTCGATAGAGAACATACTAAAACTTTTATTTCAAACTTTTTTGTGTTCCCAAAATTAATGAAAATAAGTGGGGTAAAAACAGAAACCTGTACATATTGAGGGCATAAGGTCATAGGGGCGTGTAAACCAATTTAGTAAGTAACTGTGGGATATTTTAACTTGGCGTATATAAAATTGGCTTATACGCCTATATATTTTGTATATTAAACATTAAGCTAATAAAATCATATGTCTTTTGTCCCGACGTACACAACAACATAGCCATAACTTACCCGTCCCAAATCTCATTTTTCTAATAATTCGCGCATATATGCCCCCTATGACGTGATGCCCTCCATATGTAGCTTCTTAGAAGAATATCTCTATCAGCACATGGGACTATAGAAGCTACATATTATGTAAAAATTAGCTTTGGTATATCAGCCCATTTTGAGCATATTTTTCAATGAAATGGGCTATTGCGAGCGCAAAATTAAACGCAATTATTTATAAGAACGTTGGAAATTAAAAGACACTTTTTTCTAAAGACTAAGTAAAAATTAGTGATTGTATTTTATTACTAGTCTGGGCCCTCCTAATATAAATAAGTATAGTTAGTATAGGTAATAAATAGCAGTTAAGAAACTAGAATGTAACTAGTTAACAAAGGACCTATTCTCGTCTAGGCATTTTATATTTTTCGTCAAGGGTAATTTAATTAGAATACTGACATAAGGGATTATTTACTGTCTTTGTTTTAACTAAATGTTCTATGAAAGAAGGAAGCATAAAAACCCGTCTGGGTAGCAGGATTGGAAGGGTGTGTAAAACTATAAGTTAGTCTTAATTGTAACCACGATACAGTTGGACCGATTATTTTGTAGTTCATAATAAATTGATTGGAGTGTACTTATTCGTATATTATTCCATAAGTGTAACAATTTATTAATTGGAGTTTACATTTTAAGTTGTACTTTTATTGTTTTACATTTCTAAAATGATTAACGACTAGCATGAAACATAAATATCTAACGCAGAGATATACTTTGCAATTTAAGTAGAACCACCGTATATACGCAATGGCATTTTAACACACGAGACTACCAAGAATTTAAAATGTGTCCATTGTGATTATGCAACGAGTGATAAATCTAATTATAAAACACATTTATTAACATACAAAATCACTAAGGATTTAAAGTGTGCCCAGTGCGCTTTCGTCCACAAACTTAAAAATCCAGTCCTAAACATTTGACATTTGTCAAAACATGGACCATGCCGGGATTTAAAATGTGACCTGTGCGAGTTCTTAACACATAAAAAAAGCATATTTTTTGAATCCACATTAGTTTTACTTTTACGTATTTTAAAAAATTTAAAAAAAGGATTTCGCAAATACAACAGTTAGGTTGCCCATGCATCATATTCATCTGCATATTTCCTTGAAGTTTAAGGAATATTTACTAACACAGAAAACCGGACATTCATTATGTTCTTTGTAACAAGAATTATAATAGAAACTCTTTTTTTGGAAGTATGTAACTTTTTGGGCCGATAGGATAAGTAGCTGAAAAACAATAGCGACCTTTCTTATATGCTTAAGAACATGTGTACCAATTTTCAAAGCGATCGGACACGGACAGCTAGACGGACAGACATACAGCAATACACTAATTTTAAAACATGAACCAAACAATAGAATTTTATACATTCTTACTTCCTCAACTGACAGGAGTGAAAAGAATTGCATCCACAAAATGTTATGTCAGAGATCTTTTAACATGAAAAGAAAGAATCCAAATATTTCTCAACTGGTCGCAAAGAAATAAATTTATTGACAGTTGACATCAAACCATATGTACCAACTTATGAAAGACCCTAGATTCATGCTAGAAAGAGAAAACCCCATTATTTTGTCACGGGCACATGGAAAATGTCGTAAAGTAAGATTGCAATAATTTAATAACGTATCCTGATTGAAGTAGGTTGGAATCTGAACATTTTTTTACAACTTTTGACCGTCTACCCACTGCGCTATAAGACGCTCAAGCTGCAACCAGACTTCAGTTTATTGAACATAAGTGACGCACAAATAAATGACACAATGATTAGGCATTTGGGTAATGCAACAATTTTCCAAGAACAACGCGAAAAGGTTTTTTCGATTAAATAGTATCTCTAGCTTTTTAATCGTGAAATCCAAAAAGCATACCAACTGTAATTATTGGCCAACAAAAAAATTAAAAGATTCTGAATCTTCCAATGCACTAAATACCCAGAAGAACACTTCACTTGTATTCAGTAAACTCATAGAGTACCTCTGTATATCTGAAACCTTTCAATCTAGAACCTTCTACCATCCAGTCTTACCATATAAAATCTAAATGGTCAACCAGACATTTGGACTGAGCAAACATTCTGGACGGAATAGAACTTTTTATGCAATTATCGTTGAAATGCATATTCAGTGCTTGTGTCGCATTCCATTTGATTACTGATTCCTTAATATTTAAAAACATTATGCCCAACCTACCACAGTTTTCCTGATGTTCTCTAATGAGCTTCACAAAATAAAAACAAACACAGATATACATGACAACAACATTACAGTATGTATTATAAAATAATTATTTACAAAAACTAGAATAAAATCACGAGTATTGAAGCAGCAACGACGATGTGTCTAATTTGGTAATTATGAAAACGGGTTACTGAAATGTCTTCCTAATGAGAGAATGAATTTTCAGAATCTTAGTGATGAAGATGTACAGCTACACTACGATTACATAAAAAAAATGTAATCTCTACCTGAAACAACCAAAATGTGTATTAGGAGTATGTTACACACACGTTATACACGCGTTATCTTTAAAAAAAAGCAAGTGGAAGTTAATGTATAACCGCATATTTGGTATAATTCAGACAAAATGGAGCAAACAGAATTCCACACGTTTACCAGCTCACTCAATCATTTTACAAAAACAAGAAAAAATAATGTTTGCATAGTTCACAGTTATCGAAGGCGAAGTAATCAATACACCCACATATTTTGGGTTATTAAGGAAACACAAGTTGCATGTTTTAGGAGCGCATTTTATAGGAATCTCACAATCTACTGCTTGAAAAATGTTGAAAAATTCCCTCCAGATCTATAATGTCTAATCCGCAGTGTTCTTGTCTCAAATACATACGAAATTATAAAGCACAACTTATGATGATGCAAATAAAAAATTGATTTGATGATATAATTGCGAAAGCGTATTACTTTTTAGCAGGTTTTAACTACCTGATTTCCGTTTTCGTCGCTCGTACCAGAACGAGGCGGAGTATCGCTCTTCCGTCTTATACCGCGATGTATAGTCCACTTCTGTAAGATTAATTAATTTCTAGACACAAAAAATACAGTACATATAGGACTTAGGCCAGTTCCTGTTATGGTTATGAGTACCTAAATGTGTGTAACGATTTTGTAACGATAGAGGTGATCAAATTTAATTAATTACATGAGTGCGAGTCAATAAAATGTGCAGCGGAAAGTAAATAAAATTGATTTAGCTGATGAATTATAAGAGCCATGCAATAAGCGTAAACAAGACAGAATTACTTTTTACAATATTTAAAGTAAAATAGCAACATTTTAAAAATCGAAGTGCCATTCCAATACTTCACTTGATTGTAGAGCAGCCATATTGTCAATTTTTTATTGTTGCAGTGATCAAGTAGGTGTAAACTAGTAGCAACCGATTGCAATACACATCAGGTTTCATGAATTACACAAGAAAGACCACTCTCTATATTTTTCTTAAGTTTTCTTTTTTATCCACCATTATTTATCGACAGCTTTAAAAATAAATGCTCCGTTGTTGGGTAATTACAGTATCCATAGTCACTAGTTTACCATGCTTTATTTCTTCAGCAATAAAGAACGCCCTCTACCGGGTGAATATTTCAAAACATAGGCAATTAACATGGGAAAAACGTTTTTTGCAGATGGTTGATCTCCATATTAACTTAGAGGGTTCATAATGACGCCAATCGAAAGATTTTTTTCTCATCTAATGATACACAAATTAGTTCATTTTCAGTTGTATTTGGCATTATTTTAACAAAAATTCGGCAATAAAGCCAATTAGCGAACTCATGTTAACCATGGAAATTTTCTAAAGAATTGAAATTTAGTTTTGACATAGACGGAATGGGGAATGGCTCATTAAAATGCACGGAAAACAAATATCGCGTACGAGACTAACTGTTTCTTATATGTAATTTGTTCCTGTTCTATTATTTTCATTAAACGTTTATTTATATGAAAAAAAATTCCACTGTAAACGTTTATTATAAATACTTTTTCCTCAGTGAACTGCATTTCTTTGTGTACAATTTCTTGATCTCTAAAGATTATTCGTTAGGCATTATTTTTATATAAAATAGACAGGTATGTTAACAGTTAATGGGTTTGGATAAAGCTATAATTGATAAACATGTTCTGTTTTCCGCCTTTTTTTACGGCATTGAAGTTATTAAATTATTCAGTTCAATCACCGTTATCTGACGTTTTTAAAGTTAACGTCGATCTTTGAAGGCAATAAAGAGATGGTATTTTTTATGTTCATTATGGGAAAGTGAGGGTTTAATTTTGGATTTGTTGTTTATTTTAAAAAATTTTACCACATGTGTTTATGAACAGAGTAAATTTTGAGTCTCTTGATAATTTAGACAAGCCAAGTGGCAATAAAATGTGAAAATAAGATAACTACATTTTCTTTTAGAATTTTGATGAATAGTGAGATAACAGATTTATTTTGCATTTTTGTGTGTGTCATACTGGACAACCAGGTGAGTTACACAACATACTTGATATTTGGCTAAACAATTTATTTCGTCAAAACAAGTACACTAATTACCCTATGTTAAAAAGCCTCTCTGAGCTTCTACATCAAAAAGCACTTTAAAAAAGCTGTCGAAATAATAAATAATAAAGAACAATTTCATGGATATGTAAATTTTCATTGAAGTTTTAATGTTTTGTAAGTTCTTTCAAAATATTTAAAAACGTATAGTGTTCCATTTAAAGAAATGTGTTATTTTGCTGGATATCTTAATAACCTGATGATCAATTGCTTTTCTGATTATGAGCGATGAGCCTACTGTGTGAAGTCATGGGGAGATTGGAAACACCTTATTATGTATGAGATCAATAAACGTAAATAAATAAATAATCGACCAACAAGACAAAAATCACGTTACATCAGTTGGTTTTACTTAAAGACTATTTTTTTTCTAAACTTTGTGGGCTATTATAGGAAAGTGCTGTATTATCAATAGCTCTAAACTCTTAAGTGACTTGACGACTCATCTGATATGTTGCAATAGATATTTTCAAAAATTATACATAAGATGCCATTGAATTCAGTCGCTGAAATGTTGCTTGTACCTACGTATATTACATTGGAACTACAAGCTTTTGATCATAGTTCAGATTAGTAATACCCAATTTCAGCATTTAAATTCTTAGACAATGTTTGCACAATAAAAAAAAATAAAGCGGTGATACTTATCCTATAAAATCAATTTTGGGGATAATAAAGCGCAATTTAATCAACCACTTCCTACTCAAAAACAATTCCACTCATGAGAAACACTTACAAGATGACATTAAAAAAATTACAATCCGAAGTAACAGTACACCCTACTCCCATAAGTTGGCACTACTGTTCACTTTGCGCATGTTTCCCATGATACCGGCAGCAGAAAAATAATGACCCCCTAGTCTTATCAACAAAATAATGTTGTATAGGCAAGATTGATTAGGCCTATGTGCCTATTCACATCAAAATCATGAAATCTTTGCCGAGTGGCAAATACAATAAAATTATTTGAATAGGAAATGTTTCATTTAGAATTTACAGCATCACAAATATCTGTGACTCTGCCAAGCTAATATCAATTCTTAGTATTGGAAGTTCCAAACAGAAACAATGTTTCTCATCAGAATAAAAAAGTCAATTTTGATACAAAACAAGTAGCTCAGGTAATCGTCCTCATTAAAGTTCACGTAAAGGGCCTGAAAGAAAAGATGTACAACTGGAGCAAATAATAGTGTCTTTAAAATTCCAATAGTGGATTTTAAAACATGTTTACTCTTTCGAGTATACTTTCCAATTATTGTCACCTGAAAGAAAAAGATTCAGATGGACAATATTAAATGCTCACACTTTACAAGGAAAAAATGCCTACCTATATCAAGCAAAATCAAAAGCAAGTGCTGACACCCAAAACGACTACAATTACACCAATAACACGCCACAATATACAATGTGCCGATACAGAAAAAACACAATAAGGTATAAAAACATGCAAATGTACAATAAACACTCTTTTGTTATAATAAAAAATACTGTTAACGTTTACCTTTTCGTCGTGATCGGAGTCATCGTTCGATCCGCCTTCAGAGCCCGCTTCTGAAGGAGTTCCATCTTCGCGTGGAGTTGTCAATTTTCTAGCTTGCTTGTCCATTTGACTCGTCCGAGATCGTATCTTTTTCCAACTATAATAATATTTGACTAAACTCGCTATGGTCTTCTCGGGTAACTGAAAAATAAAATTTCTTCTTATTTGCGTTAAATTAACCGGCAAATAAATGACATTTTTAAAGTTAGCGTTAAGACGAATTTGTTTTTATTTCTTATTAAAGAACACATTGAACTGTCTTGTCCATTCAAGAGAACTTCCATAATACCTGTCCAAGTATTTGAGACCTAAAGAAGAAGATTCCTAGAACCTCTGAAAATATTTTTAAGAATGAGGATTTAGTGAAACGTTTAAGATTCCAGGAAGAAACCCTAGAAGAGTTGCAGAAAAAGCAAATCGATGCACAAGAACTGAATTTATACTTTTTCTATCTTTCTCTCTTTCTGGATAAGTTGATAAAGCAAGAACTTTTAATTTCTTTTAGAATTTCATGAGGAAAACAGTCAAATATACTGCATTGATGGTAGGAGTAAGGTATTAAATATTTCCAATCTTTGTCATGATTGTGAACAACATATGCAATACATATATAAGTCGATGATACATTTCACATCGCCTAATATTTGTTATAAAGAAAAGAAAGGAAACAAGTATAAATTGTGCACAACCGAAATAGCTTTTGTTTTGACATCACCAATGAATATATTTCTTGCAGACGTCTCAATCGCCTTTTGTGAGTACCTGTTCCGACAATTCGTTCTTGAGGTATAAGGGAATATACCCGATCACGATAAAAGGTCGGGGAGGAGGGTTATGGTTGGTAGAAATTAATTCCTTTCGTTGAGACCTTTCATTAGAGTACCATGAAGGATAGAAGTAGTTCCACCCCCCCCCTCTCCGTACTTTGATAAGAGGATAGAAAGAAGGGCAGTAGTTTGTAGAAAACGGTTCCTTTCCTTGAGACCTTTAATTAGAATACAATGAGAGATAAAATTAATTTTAACCCCCCCCCCTCTCCCTCAGGCCCCGTCGCTCACTGATCTCGAAAAAGTCGCACGGGAAAGTTATACTTTGTACAACATGTGTTTACCCCCCCCTTTAGACATTTAGACACCGAAATTTGATGGCCGTCTGGCACACCTTCAAGGTATAAGCTACCTACTGCAAAAAATTCCAGAACTCTAGGGCCATTCCCCTAGAAGTAGTTCGAAACGGCAGAAGTGGGTCCGGACGGACAAAACGCAAACAATAGCACATTTTTTTAATTCTTAAAAAATGCGCTAAAAAGATTCTTGCTTTTCAAGATTTTGAACATCTATCGAGATTTCCTTAAAGGCCTTAAACCATTCTAAGAATATTTTCTCAAAAAAGTTTTCAATAAATACCTCTAATATTTTTTAAAGGTCTTACCAAAATTTAGATTTAAATAAAAAGAAGATTTTTCCAATAATATGTTTAAGAAAATTCCTAAGAAAATATCCAAAATAAATTTGAAGGATTTTAACGAAAAATTCAAGATTTCTAGGAATACCTTTTGCAAGGTTTTTTAAAGATTTTCAATTTTGCAAGGTTCCTAGGAGGATTTTGAAGGTGGTTGGAGTTTCTTTTGTGCGCCCTAAATTTTGAAATGTTTTTAAAGTTACTTATAATAATAATCTTACCGTCAATTTTTTTTGCATTTTTTTTCCTGATTGTATTGATGTATCACAACCTATTTTTTTATTTTAGCCATGAAAACCTTATTTTTTTCTGTTTTTAAATAGTAGGCCATGGATTCATGGCGATTTTGTTTTATTTATTGTATCCATGGTAACTAAGGCGCCGATACCAATCAATAAAAATGACTGACGGTCATCTTAAAAATATGATATAATATACAGGGTGAATTTTCACTATGGAGTTCTCGTAAACTGTACGATATACAAAGTCGCTTAATTGGGAAAAGTCGAGGGAAAAGTTATGCAGAATTGTATGCTGATTAATTTTTCCATTCAAAGTTTCTTGTTGCTCTACAAATTGAGCAGTTATGGTCAAAAAGAAACGAAAAATGTCAAATTATTTTGAAAATGCGGTGGCGTTCATTTATATTCAAAGATAAAAAATAATGTTAACAAACCGTTAGTAATTTTTTCTCAGCTTTCTGATGGTGCAAAAATTTTATGACCTGTGGGTTTCACGTAAATCACATCAACTCTCATATTTATTACTGACGCCATATTGGATTTTTACGTCACTCGATAGAGAAAAAAATTATAAACCAGTTACCACCATTAGAAAATAACTGAATGCCAGCGCATATCCGAAAATTACATTTTTCTGTTTTTTGGCCATAACTTCGCTATTTGTAGAGCTACAAAAAACTTTGAAATAGAAAATGAAGCATAACATTCTGCATAACTTTGCTCATTTAAGCGACGCTTTGTTGCCAACCTACAGAGTGTTATAATTTCACGATTTTCTTTAGTCTTTCCTTTATATCTCCTGAACTTTTCGAAATCTGTTACTCTAAAAGGATTACATCATTGATAATATCAATGGTAGTGAGAATCTGTTTTTTTAAGGGTCATATTATATTTTCTACCCGTGATCTTTTTTCGGGCGTTGCTGGGAGATTGTAAAATAAGAAATTAATTTTCTGGTTTGTTTAGAAACTTTTTACTCTTGTAAATTTTTCGTATCTACAATGTAAACTTTTAGTCGAAAAATAAGTCAAAGAATTAGCCCCTTCCATATTTACAACGAAATACCCTGTAACTATATCTGGCTTACCTAAATTCGAAATAAATTATTCATGGCCTGAAAGAAATATTTAAAAAGTCATTTTGATAATAGGCAAGAGAATATTGAAAATATCGTTTGAATTTTCTTTGAAACTATAACTTTTTCATTTGTTTTACATATGTAAAAAGGATGTACAATTTCATGTCGGATTAAAATTTGGAACCAAATACAGGGTGTCCTATTTAAAACAATGTAACTTCATTGGGTGATTGCACCCTGTATAATTACAAATAGTTTTTAAAATATTCTACCATATAAGGATACTAGGATAAGTAGAACGAGAACCTAAATCCAAATTTTTGGCACTTTTCAGTCCTTGAATTTTGAACTTTAAGGTACCAACGTTGCAGCTTGAAATTACTACACGTTTGCAATTTCATTTCAGAAATTGGGATTTAGTTGCCTTTGTGCATACTTTTGAAATATTTTATATTATAATATGACGCCTTTCAGACTTTAAATTTGAAATCTTATTTCAAAATTTCAGTTTGAAACTATTTCTTGTACAATCTTCATGTCCAAAATTTTGCCCGTTCAATTGAAGACTTCCAAATTGGAAATTTAATTTCCAAATCCCCGTGTTTTGTCTACCTCTCAATCTTAAATTTTGATCATCAATTCAGCTTGAAATTACTTCTAGTTTGAAATTGGAAATTTACAGTTCCTAAGATTTTTCCAATATTAATTAATTTTATTTCAGGATGATTGTAACTACTTTTTGTGTGCTCTTCAATCCCAAAATTTTTCAACTTCACTATTCCTCAAAATCTTCTCAACTTCAAGTATGAAATTTCCTCTATAATTTCAACTTGAGACATTTTTTGTATAATTTTGGGTACCTCCAAATTTTGAACCTTTGCTTTTCAAGGCGACATTAAAAGTACACTTGTTTAAAAAAATATTGCTTACCTACAATATTACTTTTTATTACCTCTTTTAATGAGCAAATAATACACAATGACTTACTTTTAAAATATATAATAAAATTCTCAAACGGAATTGACATATTTCCAAAAGTCCTGGTGTCTTACCAAACGGTATTTCAATTTTGCATTTGTAGTTTACATAATCTTACCAGCCATTTTACACTACATTTTTGTATTATAACTAAGCAACCTGATCCAGTCTATGGACCACATTACAATTACAAATAAATGAAAGTAGATCAATCTTGACTGTTTATAGAGTCCTCAGGCTGCGCTGTTTGAATTGCGCTCACTTACTAAGAATTAATACGCAAACAACTGTTGGATCTTATGGATATGCCAGATTTCACAGGATTCGTGGAATGCTAAATATCTCAGGAGTAAAATGTATGGCCTTTTAGAAGCACACAGAAAATAAAAATAAGAGACTGCCTCCCAGCAAGTCTACTTTTTAAACGTTAAAGAACTGTCGAGAAAAAGACTCTAAAGACCTTAGGCTCAATCTACAAGTATTTTACCTTTCGAATCATCCCTTGCAAAAAGCACGGCGTAGAACGAAAACTGGAAGACTTAAAAATATAACAAAATCAGTGTTAATCCGCAATACCTGCTCCAGAATGTTTCAAGTACAAATTGTACAAAAGTAATCATGGATGATACAGCTACTTACACTAAAAGCATTAAACAAAAATGGAGGGCCATTTTCCCACCCAATATTTAAATATGCTAATAAATGCTCAACTTGAATGATTCACACAAGGTTACATTAGTTTAACATTTGCTTTAGGTACAACAAACTTTCTGCAAGCATTAACAAACAAGTATAATAATACAAAAACAAATCTTACCATTTGTCTGATACGATGAAAACTTTTCCCGTGAAATTGAAATGCTTGTTCGAACAGAACTTTATCTTCCACAGACCATTCGTCGGGAAACGGAGTAAAATTCGCTAAATCTAATACCGCTCTGTCGAGATCGTGCTTGTGCCAGAATAGCATGCCTAAAGCTTGCTCGCCATTATAACCGTACTTATCTTTCGCTAGCAGAATATAGTCTTCTACTGTAATAAGAAATGAAAAATTAGAAACGTTCCCGATGAAAACATGCATAACCTACATTTTGAATCGGCTATGTCGGTAGTCGGGGACCACACCAGTAACGCTCGGTCCGCCAACAGTTCGGGCTTCCGTAGGTTTTCCGGGGTCAGTTCGGGACAAACCGCCTGATAATCGCGTCCCACGCGTATTTTATCTGTTGGAACTGAGAAGAGTAATTAATGCATGTGAACTTGAAACCAGCTTGCACATGATGGCATTTCCAAAATTACCTGATTAAGGAAGTACTTTCACAAATTTTACTTACCGGGACTATCGTCGTCGCTGGACTCTGTTTGAACGTGCCCGTTAGGGCTCGGCCCCCGACTTCTGCGACCATTTCGGGCGTCTTCTCCATTTTTTGCGGCCAATACCATCGTACGGTTAATCAATCGGAAGGCGTTTTCTTTGCTACACTTCTGGATAAAAGCAAGCGGCAAGCTAACGGCCCGAGTTCTAACACAAAATTTTAACTTCTTTTAGCGTTTTGAATCAGATTGAACGACTAAATACTGAACTCAGGGCACCGTAGTTTTACAATTAGTACATAAATCTCACATTGGGGGCGTTGGTGTAGATTTTGCGCTTGATGAAAGTAACGGTTATTAGATAGAGTTCCCTACGATGTTATTGTTCTAGTCGCTCTTTTTTTAACCGATTTCAAACAGCGCGGAAACATTTTAATTTGACGGACTCACTGGTTTGTGCTGTTTTGCACGAAATAAATGTCTATGAGTTGTACCCAGTTATTAATTTGTGCAAATTGCTGAATCTTATGTCAACGTCTCGAATTTTAGCAACTTCATTCTAAGACCGGCAAGATCTCCGAAGAGTAACTAATAATTATTATGTACCTATTCTTTGCCGCTACCATTAACAGTTGTCAATCGCAAATGATATTTTTCCTCGCAAAAATGGTAGAGGCATTTTTGCAAGTAAGATATTTATTTGGTCTTGTAGATCAAAAAAATAGAGCATGTCAATCACAGTCGAAACCGAAGGAACAATCCGTTAAAAAACCGGTTCCAAAATCACGTCTCAGTTTTTAACGAATTAATTTTCATGTTTATATTATGATCTTGTAAAGGGTAAACAAACATAAATAATAAAATTTAACTAATTCACAGTAGTACTTATTGGTCGCGTGGAAATGGATCGTCAAAACAGGTTCGCATTTCCTGTATTTTTTCCAAAGGTAGCGTAGGTATTAATATAACCATTGACTAATGGAGTATTGATATAACCTGAAAAGATTAGGAACGAAATTTTTGCATTTTTGGAAAATTAACTAATCGTAAATAAATGGGTAAGAAGTAAAATTATCCAAAGTTCGAACTCGCAATTTCCTCTGACATAACCTACTAGCGCCGTGCACCTATAGCATAATTATATGACCTATAGGTACGCGATGTTTACTTTGTCCATTTTCATACAGGCACAAATTTTATTAAATTATTTATGTTTTAAAGTGGTTAGTGGACATTTCATTTATAAAGGCAATGTGTTGTCTCATTTGATGCAACTAATTAAATGACTAATGGCGCTTAGAGAAGGGATGAGTCGGGAAGGCCATTAGGTCCCACACTAAAAGAGAAAACAAAACGAAATGATAATTAAATAATATAATTATTAATTAGTTAGGTATACTTGGGAGGTCTACCTACACTACACTCTATGGTGATCAATATACAGTGATGAGAAATACATATGTATTCTTTATTCATTGATATGTATAGTTAAAAATCCTATACTGTATGTACATATCATACATGCCACTGTCGGTAGGTACAAATACAGATATTAAAATTATAAATTAATTGACTGATGTTGCTTAATTACAATTATCATTACAAAGATTAAATCTTCTAAACAAAGGAATGGCATATTTCGAGTATAATCATGGAATTAGTTTCAATAGGAATTTTATTATAATGAGAGATTAATTAGGAACTTATCGATATAACGACTCTTCATGTAACTGGAACTTTTTTTCCAACGCACCATGGGTATTTCGCTCACATTTTTACTCACAGATGACAGATAGGTACTTTTGTTGGCCTATTAAATCATTAAGGATTCATTTTACATATAGTCCAGTCAAATTACGGTTTGGTCTGGATGTTTTCACTTCACTCAACGACACCAAGCGCATCCTATGTAAAAAAATTCGCTGTATCCGTAAATCATAGTCCCCCTGACCGGAAACGCCCGAAACATATTGTTATAAACAAAAAACGAAGAAAAAACGGGAAAATGCCATGTTTTGTCACATTTGACTTCGAATATCTCGTTAACTATTGCTTGGAGGGAAAAAATGAATAGAAATGAACTTGTTTAGAATAAAATTTTCTATAAGATACAGTTGGTCCGGAACGCTCATTTTCAACTGTTATTGTTATTTATGGAAAAATGTAAAAAAGTAATCTCGAAAATTAACACTTTGTTATTACTAAGTAAAATTCATTCGATCTTTTTGAAAATCCGTATTTAGTAACCTTTTGATAACAAAACAATATGACAAACCAGATTGTTTCATACTCATTGATTAATTAAATAAACAAGTAGAAAAAGGGATGCTTTGTCTTTCAAACTGGGGGACTACAAGAGCGTTCCCAATTTTTTTTATACATAGTGGAACTGTAAAACAATCTTTTGCAATAATTGTCCCGATCATTTTTGCAAATCAACGGACTGTGGAATTTTTTTAGTTAACTAACAAATCGAATAGCTTCCGAGATTTAACAAGAAAAGTAACTCTATAATCGGCCCTTGGTAAAAATCATTCATTTTGGTGAAATACAAGCATGTAAAAAGTTCACGCACTTTTGGTTGTTTCGAAAACTGGCTTCAAAGTCAAAAGCGGATTTCTGGTGAACTATTAATCGGATTTGGACGTATTTTTTTTAATGTACGGCTTTCCGAGAGCTTTACATTCGCCTATTATAGAGTTATATTTTTTGTTATATTTCGGGAGTTATTCCATTTGTTAACTAAGAAAATTCTTCGGATTTTGAAAAAAAATTGCACAATCCGTCGATTTACAGGAATCATCGGGACAATTATTGGAAAAGATTGTTTTAGGGTTATAATATGTATTAAAAAAATTGAGAACACTCTTGTACTCCCCCCGTTTGAAAGACAAAGCATCTATTTTTGGACTGTAGGTGTGCTTTTACTAATCTAAACATTTTGACGTTACCCTGTTTATTTATTGAATCGTGTTTGAGATTTGCAAGAAAGAACATTTTAAATTATCAGTAACAAGCTTTTTATCACGATTATGACACCCGAAATAAAAGCACTGTTCGTCTCCCTTTATTGAGACTCAACAAAACTCAAAAAGGTTTTGAACACACGCACTAAAGTTTTTCAATTGTTTACCTGATATCGTCAAAGCACTATCCAATCGAGAATTTAATCGCTGTATTAAAAATGTTCTTTTAGCTCACGCCTTTTACTCCACGGATGAATTTATAAGTTTCGATTTTAGTTTGATGCTAGGTTACAATTTAGAAATATGTTTGATGACGAGTGTATGTAATTCTTGTTGATGACCTAAACACAATAAACTTTATTATTATTATTTGACTGGACTAATAGTACACTTTATAATTACAATTACATTTTTTCTCGCATTTTTTGTAATCGATAAAAATAAATTCAGTTAACTGGACCGCGCATAATGCATTAATATGTTTTATCGCACCCCAATTATTAAAAAAAAATGTTCCATAGATCACAGACAATTATTTTTATTTGCCCTCTATAATAAATCAGGCGATGACTCGTAAAATAATTTTTGATCTTTACCACCCTTCTTTCTTTATGAGGTTCTATTTGTAATGTACATTTTTGTCCTTTCACTTCGTAAAAATATAGTTATAATTCGTTCGTGGCGCATTTCCACAAACATAAAAAATGCGCTATTGTGGTCACTTTGTCCGCCCGTCTATCCATACCCACGGATTTGTCGTCCTTAGATTTTAATCTTAAGAACTATTGTATTAAGAACTATTGTTTTACTTTTTTCCCTATTTGGTCCGTTATGATGCCGAGGCTTAGGTACCTACATCAAAGAAGGAATCTTTTCTACGTTTATTAATAAAAAAAGTTACCTATAGCAAAAAATCAATTTTTTTCATTACCATTCCACAAAAATAAAAAATATGCTATTGTGGCCATGTTGGACGTCCGTCCGCCCGCTTGTATCCGTCCTTACGACTGTGTATAGCTTTTTACAGATCTTTATCTTAAGAGTTATTTTTTTTGCTATTTGGTTCTATATGGCATCGAGGTTTGCACCAAGGAAGGAATGTTGTAGGTATGTGTTTTTTACAAAGACATCAGTTGTAGCAAAAAAATAGGTATCTAGTGAAACATGAAACTTGCTCTATTAGAGATCATTGTGTTCAATAAAACCCAAGCGAAAAATGAAATTAGTTCTGTTGGAAACCGCGGTTAATCCTTCGACTCATTACACTTAACAACATAGATTGCGCATGCCAAGACCCAACTTCCTTATTTATGAGCGTTTTTTTTTTAATTTTAAGAGTGCATCTTAAAAAAATAAACGTACATAAAAAAATAGACCTAGACTCTAATCCTTCTAGAATTGCAACGGAAGATATTCTTATAAAAGCAAATTGAAATCACGTGTCAAAGGGTCACCAATTTTTTTTTGACAAATACTGTTAGTGTGGAAATGCGCGTTTAACTTATTAGTTTTAATTTCGCATCTTCAAGTTTACAGGAAAAATTCTTTACCTACGTTAGCATTTGATTTGAATGTCTTTTGGCTCTATCTACTCCTGTAAGGACATTTCACTTAAATCATGTTATGGCATCTGGAGATGCAGCTAAAATATCCATCTGCTTCTCCCACACATACAAATAATCCCGGCCGTAAATCTTCAATTTCAGACATTTTTAGGGGAACAAGAAATTCCCCTAATTTTTGTGATGGTTTATGTCGGTCTGTCTGCCACCTGTTCCTCATCTAACTCGAAAACGAAAAGACACAGAGACAGACAGACAGAGACCTTCATCACTCTAGATCTACGAATTCAAGGATCAATGCTATCGAATATGACTCGTCGGATTAAAAGTCGCGCGCGCACGAGCTTCCCGTGTTTTTATTTTGATCTCCTCTTACAGATTTCTCCAAAACGAAAACGTATGATCCAGGAGAAACGTTCTCTGTACCATCAGCGATCATTGTTAGCTCGCTCCATGGTTTCTTGAAATTTTTAGCACAATCCGCGAAAGTAGTATTAATATCTTCAGTTTTCCGTCGTTCGTCGTTCCGCGCTATAGCTCAGTCCTTAGACCTCGTATCGACTTCGTGTGTTCATTTTATAAAACCGCATCAGATATGCAACTATCAAAAATTAACATTGCATCCATTCCATTGCTGCACAGTGCACATTCACCAATAATGTTGGATGATGTCCAAAAGTGATGCATATCATTTTTGGTAACCAAAATATTTTTCGCCAAAAGATGTCAAAAGTGTGATTTACGCATCAATTTCTCTTGGGAAAAAGATCAAACTCAATTTCTCGATAACCAAAAGAAATCCGAAAAATTTCAAAAATTCATAACAATAATTACTTTCACATTTATTTGTTGTATTTTTGAGGAATTATTCGAAAGAAAAAAATCCCCTTATGTGATGGTTTTGTCTGTCAGATTCTTCGTATCTTGTCCGAGGGTAGCCGTTTTGATTTCTTTGAGAATGGCATTTTTCAAACTGAAATAAGATACTTATACCATACTTTTTCGAGTATGAAATCGAGGCGGTATACCTAGTCAAAAGGTAAACTCAGTCTATTTACTCAAATAAAACAAAATGGGCCCTCTTGACGTTTAGATTAATTTACCCACGCCACCTTTCTTTTTCACTATAGAATTAGTCCTAAAAAATGTTTAAAATATGTAACATTTCCCAATAACAAGAATATATAGATACTAAAAAATATAATATAAGTACCTATACACAATTCAGTTCAAGAAAATGTTTTAATACTAAACAAGTGAACCAAAACCACACTCGCATAGGTAGATGGGCAGACAGATTTTGACATCTTTTGGTTAAAAAAATGTTGGTAGGCAGCAATTCACATACTTAAATCACTTCTTTGGCATTGAGCATTCGAGTTTTGTCGTTTTCTCAACCAAATTGGTGCATAATTAAGTTTTTACATCCTTTGGGTAAACATTTTTTCGTCACTAAAAATACACATTGATCAGTTTTTGGGCATCGAGTTAAGTCTTTTCCCCAAGAAAATGACTTCTTGGAATATTCTCTCAATAATACTGAATATTATTAAAATATTCAACAATTTATGGCCGTATGCACCCACAAATTTAAGCGAGGCTTAGCTTAAGCGTAGCTTAAAATCCATGGCAACGATTATTGCGACAATGGTTGCCATGGATTCTAAGCAACGCTTAAATTTGTTGGTGCACATGGCCATTAAAGATTATTTATATTAATTATTCTGTAGCGTTCATATGGCAACGCCACAATTCTGCATGACAGGCGTTTGGCAATCAAAGCAACACTGCCATCAGCTGTTTCATAAATGTCACCGCCAAGTGACGACATAACTCACTAAACATCGTACCACTCAGTACATGTAAACAAAGACACTGCAAATGGGTTACCTAAAAAATTAAGTCAAGACTACCATTCATTAAAATTGATTTAATTAATATTTCCGTCTGCTTCTATCACATGCGCACTCTATGACAACAATGCGTACACCACGAGCAGCGTCCTCCTTCACACAGAACAGTATAAGGTTGTCACAATTTTAAGTAGCACATGATAGAGAAACATGTAGTAGTAGTAGTAGCCTTGACTTAATTTTTTTAGCCAACCCATTTCCAATATGTTTGTTTTCATATTGATTGCTAAAAAATGCATTTCACTCACTAAACAGATGAGTGAAGGTTGACCCTATGTGGGATCTTGTACTAATAGAGATTAATTTCTTGATTGTGGACTTGAAATTCCTGATGAAAATAATAATAACAATCGTAACATTTAATTATAGATCAACAACTTTGGTACATTAACTAAACATGACTCATTTTTCTGTTCTTTAAGATACTTGCAATAAAAAATTCGCCGGCTTTGTAGGAACTTCTTACTAATGGACCGCTGGCAACATACAGGAAGCCTTTGCTGTTGCCTATGTTTTCCCATTCTTTAAATTTAGCTGGCGTTACGTATTCCATAACTTTTAAATGGCGCTTCGTGGGCTGCATGTATTGACCGAGAGTTACGCAATCCACACCGGCAGTTCGCAAGTCTGTTAAAGTTTGTTCTACTTCCTCGTCTCTTTCGCCCAGACCTAACATGATCGAAGATTTGGTAATTACATTTTCGTTAAACGATTTAGCTGCCTCCAAAGTTGCTAGAGATTGCCTGCAAAGCAATTGAGAAATTAGTATTTAATAACCATTAATAGGAGGATGACTACAAAATATAGGAGAACTACTAATTTATCGCAATCATTTTAATGTAAACAGTGTAACAATTAAGTATATATTAAACAAAAAGTAAGTGGTAGAGAGGACCAAAAAAAAACAAGCATTGTTATCAAATAAACCGAAATTCCAAAATGTATCATTGTGGAGCTACACCTCCGAAAGACCCCAATTTTCATTTCTTCTTTAATTTTTTCTTATGAACCATAACACAAGAAGGATGAAATTTACAACTTATCCCTTTGTTTTTGACACGTTCATAGGGAAATTGTTAGTGCTATCAAAAAAGTAATACGGGTGTCATGTGCTCTTCTTGGATTAAGAGATATAGTGTAAAATTTAAAAAATGGTAATATTAGAATGATTATATTGTATTCTTAGTTAAAAGAGATATGGATAAATGTTTAATACAAAAGTTTGTTTATTATGATTGTTGAATCTGCCATTTATAAAATAACGACACGGGATCAGCTAAAAATGTTATTGGATCTAATTTCACTTTTTAAAATAGAACACCCTGTACATTTTTAATCTATAACGATAGCATAGTGTTATTTTTCAAAAATATATCACACCACGCATGATATTTAAAAAGGATTAAAAAAAATGTATAAGTCCTTTTAGGTTTTTTGAATCACTTGAACTTTTTTTGACTTCTAAAATAGGAGACCTGGCACCCCTATGAGAAATTGACAAACCTAACGTTATTTTACTATACCTGTATTTTGCACGCCGATCTCTAACATAGGGCGTTAAAGCTTCAACAGTTTCAATGTTGTGAGCATAAACGTCTAATCCGCAATGACTAATTGTTTTAACAGCTTCCAAGTCGCCGCGAAAGTCAGGTACAAGGCATTCAACTAAAATGTTTGCATTTCTAAAATATGAGCATTAAATGGTCTTTAAAACCAATACAAAGGCACTTACAGCCGTTTAATTTCTTTAACTGTATCAGCAAAGTGATTTGAGCCACCATCTTTCAAATCTGGCAATAAAAATGTTAAATTAAAACATTCTATCCGTAAACGATAACAAACCATCTCGATCAACTGACGTCAATACAATATAGTCTAATCCCCATGATGCAATTGCCTTTGCTGTATTTTCGGGTTCGTGTGGATCCGGCGGTGGTGGTGCTCTTGAGGTTTTTACGGAACAAAACATACACCCTCTCGTACATGTGTCACCCATTAACTAATGAAAGAAATTAGAGAATAGTACACAATCCAAATGTATTACCATAATCGTTGCAGTTGCAGTCCGATGTTCTCCTCCACCCCAACATTCGCCAATATTTGGACAGCGAGCCTCTTCACATACTGTACTCAGGTTTAGGTTACGTAATTGTTCTTTTAAACGAGTGTAATTTTCACCGACTGGTATTTTGGTTTTTAGCCATGGCGGTAAACGTAGACGAGTAGTGTCTTTTTTTCCTCTACGTAATTGGCCATCGTATGAATTCCATTTATCGGTATCTTCCTCCAGTACAGGATTGGGATTGTTTATGAAGTCCTGGAGTGATGGTCCGCTAGCAATCTTTTCCTTTAAATTTTCTAAACGTGCCGAAGACTCATGCTGTAATTTTATGTGTTGTGACCAATTGGGAATTTTAGTTAAAATTTGATTTTTTCTAAACATTTTACATCAGATTGTAGAATTACCTCATTTTTGGTTTTGAAGGTTAAATTTTAAAGGTTAGGTATAAACCATAGAATAATAAAAAATAGAGTATCTTTAACAATATAGGATGATTATTAAGTTACGTTGCCTGATTTTTTTAGGTAATCCAATCAACTAAACGTACACCGTTTGAGTGAGGTAATCTAAAAATTGTATAAAAATCAAAAACCAGACCAGGGGATCCCGCTAAAATACCACAAAGTAAAATAGCGGGTATTTTTTATAAAATAAATTGAATATACAGGGTGGCGACTTGCGTAACGCTTCATAGGGATTTCAATGTAAAATTCATATCATGCGATTATTGGCTCCCCAAATTATTTTAGAGGAAACATGTATATAGAAAATTTTTTTTACGCCAATCAACCGTATTTTTTTTTTCATATAAAGACGGAAAATTGGAAAAATAAAACCCGCATCTTTTTCAATAATCTGCAATGCCATGGAATTTTCTAAAACAAAAAGATATCCAGTTATCAATTAGCCGCAGTTCAAAATGGATTTTATGATCCACTTGGTTACTGTCTTGCAGTTAATGGTGACTTATTCGAACATTTATTGTAAATTGTTATATTAGGAAACCGTTTTTAGTAATTTCATCTTTCTGTTGAATTCGCTATTCTAAATATAATACTTTTTGATAGAATTTGATTTGTCTTATAGCACATTCCATGGCATCACAGATTATTGAATTTTTCCAATTTTCCGTTTTTATTATGCAAAAAATTGAAAAACTAATACGGTTACTTGACATAAAAAAAATTTTTCTACAAAAAACCTTAATACATTTTGCTGTAAAATAATTTGGGGAGCCAATAATCGCATGTTATGAATTTTACATTGAAATCCCTGATGCGTTACGCAAGTCACCTGTATATGTAACTATGTGAACAGATCCCGCTTAAATTTGAAATCGAGTGGCACGTGGTCAAACATCTAAAGCAGGACCCCGATTACGTTTTGTTGTAAACAACGCTATGACCTGAAGTCCTTCAATTCAATTCAATATCTATGCCTGAAGTAAAAATGGGAAGGAACTTAAAATAAAACAGTGAAATTGTGAAGTTTGTTTAATAATGAATATTATTATTAAGATTGTGAAATAACGTTGGAAATTGTAGTTTACCGAATAAAAACAGAAATAGGCTGGGAAAAAAAGAACAAACCAAGAAAAAAACCAGCCAAAAAATTAATATTAAATTGTGTAGCAAAATTGTTTGTAATGATCGTGTGAATGCATAACATAAAATAATAACAGTACAACAAAATATGTAACATGTAGGCCTTGAGAAGTGACATATAGCTTAAAAACAAGTTTTGGGAACAATGGGTCAGGTAAATAGGTACCAAGATTCTGAGAAAGGGTGAAATACACCATACCTCTATGAAATAGAAGAGTCCTATTAATTTGTGGTCAGCATACCGAATCATCCTACGAATAGTACAGCTGTTTTAAAGCATAACACGCAAGGGAAAGTCGGTGAGTTGTAAAGTTGTACAAGTGCGCTAGAGATTGAATAATAACTTGTAATCTTTATTTAGAATTAAAAAGTTCCTTGTTCACTTTAAAATTAGTACTTAAAAACTTGCTGCCCCTGCTGGAATAATGCAGTGTTTACAAACCGCTGCCACATATACTTACCATTTGTAAATTACGCCAGCGTTTGAAAGATGTACTGATATATTCGGGTCGCTACAATATTAAACAACGAAATATGTTCCAATTTATGTTTATTTTTTAAATCTTTGTTAACAATATATTATGTATATTTTAAATGTATGTATTATTTATATGCTATGTGTTTTGTGGTCTCGTGTCTTAATGAGTGATTGATTAGTAGTTGCGTAGTCACAGTGCGCACATTTTAAATCCTTGGCAACTGATGATTTTTTTTAACTGACTTTGTAATTGGTTACAAAATCACACTGTCGAATTTGTCATTGGTTGCATAATCCCTTGTGCACAGTTAACATCCTTGACAGTCTTGTGTCTTGACAGATGTGTTTTAAAGTATGATTTACAATTGGTTGCATATTTACACTGTGCACATTTGAGTTCCTTGACAATCTTGTGTCTTGACAGATGATTTTTAAAGTGTGTTTTATAATTGGTTGCATATTCACACTGTGCACATTTCATATCCTTGACAGTCTTGTGTGATAACAGATGTGTTTTAAAGCTCGATTGACTATTAGTTGAATAATCACACTGCGCACATTTTAAATTCTTGGCAGGTTCATGTGTTAACAGATGTCTTTTAAAGATTGATTTGTTATGGGTTGCATAATCACACTGTGCACATTTGATATCCTTGACAGTCTTGTGTCTTAACAGATGTCTTTTAAAGTAATTTTTACAATTGGTTGCATAATTACACTGTGCACATTTGAATTCCTTGACAATCTTGTGTATTGACAGATGATTTTTCAAGTTTGTTTTAAGATTGGTTGCATAATCACACTGTGCACATTTGATATCCTTGACATTCTTGTGTGTTAACAAATGTCTTTTAAAGATTGATTTATGATTAGTTGCATAATTACACTGTGCGCATTTTAAATCCTTATCAGTTTTATGTGTTAACATATGTCTCCGAAGACTTTGTTTATCATTAGTTGCATAGTTACAATGAAAACATTGCATATCCTTAGTAATCTTATGTCTTCTTAAATGTACTATCAAATTGGCTTTATATTTACTTGCAAAATCACACTGCACACAATTAAAATTTGAAAAAATTCCCAGTCCCAGTCGCCCACCATATGATAAATCCTTAGAATGTTCAATTACTAATTCATTTTCTTGCTGAATCTTATTTTCATTAGAATAACCCTGATTAATCGTACTTTCATTTACTTCACGCTTGATTGTTACGGAGATGTCATTGCTAAGTAAAACTTTGGCATCCAGAGAAGCAAATATTTCTTCTTCTTGTTTGGTTTCAACTTTTACAATCGCTGACATTATAACACAAGAAGCGGTTAAACAACCGTGAACAGGTCCTTCTAGAAAACCAAAATGTGGATTGGTGGAAAATGTAACTGGGCGACGTTCCGAAACGATGTTTGGCGAAAAACGTTTCCCGAAACAGCGTCTTTGGTTATTTAATCCGACAAAGGCGACTTATGAACAACCTGTAACTGTTAATTCAATTTGCATTAGGGAGTATGAATAGGTGAAATTTGAGGTTAAGTAACGGGCAATCAAAAATTGAGTGGCATTCCAGTCGCCTTTGGGTTTGGAATCCAAAGGTGACTCGAAAGTAACTAATTTTCGTATCTCGGCGCATCTTGCAGCATACACACCTGTCCAGTTTTCTTTTTTTGCTTCTTATTAAAAAAACCAATGTCATTTCAGGATGCAGACGTCAGAACCACTAGCTTTTTCAGGTTAAAGCTGTTTTTTAGCGATGCAGCGGTTTAAAGCGTTGTTAAACCCATGGCCTAATATACTCTTTTTAGTCCATGGTTAAACCAGAGCATTCTCGCGGAAAGTCACTATGACGTCATGAATGCAGCGTTTGGTTGGGACGGCGATTTGAAACTTGTCTGCCTCTGCGCATTAGAAATTTAACGACCCCAGAAGAATGTAAAAAACACCCTCGTCTTTTAACAAATCAACCACGTTGCCAGAATGAGATTCATACAGCGGTATTTATTTACAAAGTTGGTCGAATCGAATCGGCGCATTCGGCGACTGCCAAATTTATGACGTCACGAATGAAAACGCAACGGTTGGTAGCGGTGGGCCACCCACGGCCCGCCGTTAAGTTTTGTCCGGCCCGCTAACATATTATAATTCAGTGTTAATACTTCATACGGCCCGTCAAATTATATTAAAAATTCGGATTAATTAATTATGATTATGTTACACCGCAGCATGTAGTGGACGTAATCCGAAGCTTCCAAGACGTTTGAAAGCCTCTTTGAAGAAGCATTTCATTTTTCACAGATATCGCCAGGTATTTTCCAGAATTTTCGTCCCGATATATACCGGGTGGGGCAATAAAACGACACGTGTTTTGGGATTCAGCAACATTTTTAAACCACATATTGCAACAAATACACCAAAAAATTTCTTTAAACATACTTTTTATTTGGATTTTCAACTTTGGCCCGTGGCGCATATGAAAAATTTTATTTTGGCCCCTTGGAAAAAAAGGTTGCCCATGCCTGTGCTAGACGAACCCGCTGCATCGCCGTAAAACAGGTTTACAATGAACGTATAGGTTAATATTTGAATATTTCATAAACCGTAAGTGTTTGTTTACAATGAACGTATGTATACATAAATATATATTTCATAAACCGCTACTCGTACATATTCGTATCGTTTCCGTAAATTACTTCGCTGTTTACAATAAACCGTATGTAACTTTGAACATTTTCAACTTTTGTGACTATGCGCAATACTTACGTATAGGTACGTACGTAAAAATTACGTTCATTATAAACACCTTCGTATGTTTCTCTTCAAATTTGCGAAGTTTTTAGTGTGCGTTTACAATGAACGTATACGTAAATATTTCATAAAACGTAAAGCCGGATTTATAGTTCCGTAGCCGTAAGAACGTAAGAACGGAACCTTAAAATCTTACGTTCACGAAAATTATACGATTTATAGTTACCGTAGTGGTAAGAGATGAGCTTGCGTATTTATCTGCCATTGTATGTCATCTGTCAGTAAGAGTAACGTGCATTTCAAAATAATAATAACCAACAAAGTGTCAACAATTATTGTAAATAAACGAAACGAACGTCAGGATAAACTCAACTGTTTGAATTATCCGAGTACTGCCGACGACAAACGCGTTAGCACGATTTACCGTAAGAAATAAGATTTGGGCATTTCCTACGTACCGTAACCGTTCTAACGCAACGTTAACGGGAACTATAAATGTTCACGCGCAACAAGTAGGGTTTAATTCCAAACGTTACGGTACGGTGTTGCGGGTACGGAACTATAAATTCAGCTTTACTCGTACATATCCGTATCGTTTCCGTAAATTTACTTCGCTGTTTACAA